TTCATATATCCAACCCTGGAATCAGAGCAGGGTCATCTCACCAGCGTCACAGGACAGGTGAAGAAGTGGTTCTCCAGAGACATACTGAGCAGGCCAGGTAAACAAGTCCTCCACCAGAAAGCCTGAATCCGACGGCAAGGATTCAGAAAGACAACCACCCCGTTCTCAGTTACAGCCCTGTTCCCTCCACTGTCAGCATCTTGAGACAACAGGGTTGGTTTTCTCTCCCTGAGGAGGAGAGGGGGTCCAATTTCATTCTCTAATTGATTCAAATCACATGCCCTAACAGAAGTTTCCCTTGTGAATTAGAAATGCTGGCCACATAAAAGTTGTCTTTGTTCCATAAATTATGCAAAAGACCTATCTTAAACTGAGATTTGTTTCCTAAGTGTAGAAGATTTTAATTTTATGCCCATTACTCTGCTTGCAGGATGGCTCTAGTCAGATCATTTAACCTTTTCTGGCTTCTAAGTCTTAACCTCTAAAATCACAATGGGGGGGAGAGTCCTGGAGGGGGTTGGGAGGTGGGGGGTTGTCCCTTGCAGCTTTAACTTCTTTGAATCTGAGCAATGGGAGATGGGGGAAACGTATTCTAATCCTGATCTTTCAGTTACCACTCTGAATATCCACTAAACAAAGTTTTACATATTTCTTAGATTATAAATAAATTTTCATTAAATATTTATGTTAAATATTTTTGGTGATAATATAAGTAGAGGTTTCATTAGTCTACAAGCACTGATTCTTCACTGCTTACCTTTTTCTAATTTCCTTTACTTTTTTTTTTGGCTTCATTACTTTTTTTTTTCCCCTGTATTGATTTTAAAGAGAGAGGAAGTGAGAGGGAGAGAGAGATGGAAACATCGATGAGAGAGAACATCAATGAGAGAGAACATCGATTGGCCACCTCCTGCATCCCCCTACTGGGGATTTGGCCCACAACCTGGGCATGTGCCCTGACCGGGAATTGCACCGGTGACCTCTTGGTACATGGGTCAATGCTCAGCCACTAAGCCACACCAGCTGGTCTTGGCTTCATTACTTTTTTTTTTTTTTTATCTTCACCCGAGGATATTTTTCCATTTTTTGTACAGATAGAGTGGGAGGGAGAGAGAGGAAGGGAGAGAGAGAGAGAAACATCGACGTGAAGGGACACATCGAGTGGCTGCCACCCGCACGACCAACCAGGGCCGGGGACAAACTACAACCGAAGTACGCGCCCTTAGCGGGAACCGAACCCGGGTCTCTCCGGACCGCAGGCCAACGCTCTAACCGCTGAGCCAAACTGGCCAGGGCTTGGCTTCATTACTTTTAATAATTAAAGTAAAATCCCATTTTTTACAAAGTGAACCAGGACAAGATCATAAGTGTCATAAAAACAACTTTCAGAAAAAAATTTTCATTTACTTATGACTTGATTTAAAAATATAATGTACTTTCATTTGGAACACTTTATGTTTCTGCTGGCAGTAAGGATGGCACCAGGTGTTAGACCAGTGGGGTCAGGCTGGACCTGGGTTCAGCAACCTTGGTACTTGAGTTCTGGCTAGGAAAGAATTCAGAGCCAAGACTCAACAATAAGAGAATGTTTATTTAGAAAGTCACAGAGGTAGAAGAAGTGAGCAGCAGAAGAAATGGGCTCAGGAAACAAGTTACAGAGGCAAAAGAAGGGGCCTTTGGCGCGTAGGAGAGAAAGGGGTAAAGGTAACACACCTGGGCAGAAGAAGAGGGGGCTGGAAAAGGCACCTGCCTGCTACCGAAAGGGAGAGAGCAGTGAATCCTCCATCCTAGGGCTTTTAAGGGTGAAGTTTAGGGGCAATCCCAGAGGAAGATCTCAATAGGATATTCATCAGCTTTCCAGGTGTGTCCTTTCAGGGTCGTGTTCTCCACGGATTGTTTGGTGCCAGGGCAGGGGGTCATTAGTCAATGCAGCTGGTCCTGAGGTCAGCCCTGGCTTTCCTCATCTGGTTTTGATGCTTTTCTACACCTGGAGTTGAAACACAACTGAAGCCTAGACGTATTTGATGTCGGTCAGAACCTCCTTGTCTTGGGGCTTAATGCTTAAGGGCTATTCTCCAGTTTCCCCTCTAAGGGGGGTGGGGGTGGGGAAGGTGGGGGTGAGGGTGGGGGAAGGTGGGGGTGGGGGTGGTCTAACCTGCATGGCTGGCAACATGCCAGAGGAGGATCCAAACCCGAATGGCCAGTTTTATGAAGATCAGGGATCTAAACCGCACAACCAGAGGTATGCTAGGGGAGGAAAGGTTACACTGGGGGTGAGGTCTTTGCTTTCCCAGTTTTGTCCATTGCTAGGTTCCCAGGACTTTCCACCCTGGTGACCTTTTGTACCTGGCCCATCATCCTTTCTGCTCATGTCTGTCTAACTGCCTGCCACATTTCCACTGAAATACTAAGATTCCACAAAAATGAGATATTACTTTTTTTTTTTGTCTCTGAGCCCCTCAGATGAAGTTACTACTGAAAATCAGTAACACTTGTCATGTGTTGTTCATTAAATCCGTCTAGACATTGCATATTATGTCTGCTTCTCTAGTATATTAACTTTTCATTAATTATAAGTACAAACACCAAAATTAAATTGGTATAAAAACCCACAGTAGCCCTGGCCGGTTTGGCTCAGCGGTTAGAGCGTCGGCCTGCGGTCCTGAGAGACCTGGGTTCGGTTCCCGCTAAGGGCGCGTACCTCGGTTGCAGTTTGTCCCCGGCCCTGGTCGGTTGTGCGGTGGCAGCCACTTGATGTGTCCCTTTTGCATCGATGTTTCTCTCTCTCTCTCTGTTCCTCTCCCCCCCCCCCACTCTACCTGAACAAAAAATGGAAAATGTCCTCGGGTGAGGATAAAAAATAAAAAACAAACAAACAAAAAAACCCACAGTAGTTTTTAACCCCCATTTCCAACATAATTTACATTATCACATACTTTTATTTATTTTTTGGTACGTGTCCCTAGCGGGAATCGAACCAACCGCAGGCCGACGCTCCAACCGCTGAGCCAAACCGGCCAGGGCTATTACCACATACTTTTAAACAGAAAAAGTTTTAACAAACATTCTTTAGAAATAATTCTAATTTGTTCCAGTAACTTAATAGCTGAGGCTTTTGGTAAAAGATGTAGTTATCTTGTACTGTGCAATTTTAAAATAAAAAGTAGTAATGTTAAATTTTTTATAACATTATTATAAAATTGCACCAATAACCTGAAATCAAAACAATATTCAGCCTTGAGTGCCTATTACTTGCCAGGCATTAAGTATTTCTTTTCATTTTCTTTTTCTTATTATAACAGCCCTACCAAACTAATATACTTATTAAGACCATCAGTAAAATTAGGTAACAGAAATTAACTAAAATGAAAGGTAACACAAATCATTTCTCTTTTTCACTTCTCTAAATTCAGCTGTCTATGTGAGACTAAGTATAGCAACACTACTAGTCAGAGTATCTTTGGGAATGCTTCTTGCTGTTTGGGACATAATTCCTACATTGCTTTTTTTTTTTTAAATTATTGATTCTATTACAGATGTCCCCCATTTTTCCCCCTTTGCCTCCCTGCATTCTGCCTCATGTGTGTCCATGCGATATAGACATAGATATAGATATAGATATAGATATATAGATATAAATATAGATATAGATATTTGGTTGCTCTCTTCCCATCCTCGCCTCCCTCCTCCCCTATTTCTTTTCATTTAAAAAATAGATAACTGTCTTAATTAAGATAATTAAAATAGCAAAGAAAACCTGCCTCCTGTTTGTAATGAGTCAAACATGCAGAGATTTGATTGGAGAATCTTATTTCAAGATGAGAGGCTGCTCATATATTATACTTGGTATTTTCTTCTAATGAAAAACATAAAGCCCTTGTGCTACCACCTTGACTCACTGCTTAGGGCAGTGCTTCTCAAACGGGGCTGCACAGTAGAAATGCCCAGAGTTTAAAAAATGCCGGGCCTGTGTCTTGCCCCCAGGGATTCTGGTTTAATTGGTACAAGGTGGGGCTATTCTATCAACTACTTGCTACTCCCCAGCAATTATCCATCTGTATGGTATTTTATCAACTGTGAGGCTGTTTGATTGGTCAGGTCTTTGTGCTGAACTGAATTCTGCATAGCAGTGCTTACTGTGCAGAGGTTGCAGTGCCTCTCTTTGCCTTAATCCATTTTCCTCTTACTCCCTCACTCTCTCTCTCAGAGGAGGCAAGAGGCTGGCCCAGCAGCCTGGGCTGATTATCAGTGAAAATACCAAAGAAAGAGCTGGGCTGCCTCCTGGATATTTTTTCCACTGAGGATTAATTTACCAGACTTTTTTTTTTTTTTTTTATTGTTCTCTACATCCTGCAAAAACTTTTTTTTTGGCAAGAAATAAACTCTGAACTTATTGCTGAAAAACATAAGCAAAAAGTTTTAGCACAGCTTCTCTGTCCCTGGGACACATTTGAAAATTCTGAAGTGAGCAGAAGCATAGTAAGTGCTTTCTTTCTTTCAAAGCTACCTCTAGGGAGAGGGGAGGCTATTGTAATGGTAAATTTCACTGGGAGAGGAAGAAAGGGCTGATAATCAATCAAAAATGAAGTATTCATTTGAAGTTTGGCAATTTCCTTACTATATTGTAAGACTATTTTAATTTTCTCTGTAAGATATACAGACAATGTTTTATTGTGTGTGTGTGTGAATAAAAGCAGTCTGGGGAGTGCCGTGGAAAGTTTTCTCCAGTGGAGAGGAGAGAGGTGCCACTCTGGGCTTCAGTGAGCCCCGGGAATTCCAGGAGCAGACTTGACAGAACGCTGAAGTGAGACATCCTTCTGGGTCAGCATCTTGGAGTTCAGCTCAGAAGAACATTTTACATCTGAAAGAATTTGTTTTTCAAAACCTCTCTTGGCCGGAGCGTATCCTGAAGGGTAGGATAATGTGCTATAAGAGAAGCACCGCTTTCTTGAATCTGCTTCAGGCATTTACAATTTAACTCGCGGGATCATGTGTTTGGCATGATGAGAACCACAGAGAACTTCGAGGAGACTCAGCTCCGTGCCGCACTAAGTCCTCCCGGGACCCCCGCGGGAGGGTACATTTATCTGGAAGCATTCCTGCAGGGAGGAGCTCCCTGGGGTTTTACACTGAAAGGTGGCCTGGAGCACGGAGAACCGTTAATCATCTCTAAGGTAGGTTTCTTTTACTAATATTGTCTTTATTCACATTGCTTTTTCAACTTTTATAGAATTTCAAAGTTCAAAAAAAAAAAAAAATTGCTGAGAATTGCCTGACTATTGCTTAACTTGCAGTTTCAAACCTTGCTGGTTATATCTGGAAATATTTTGTATAACTTGGTGTTTGAAAGAAAAATGTGTCTAGCTCATTTATTCTGTGAAATCCTGGAGAAAAATGTGCTCGTTTGATGGATAAAATCTCTTTACTCCTGTGAATGAAATAGTATAAAACAAGCTACCACATGATCTTTTTAGTTATAAATCTGATTAAAGATTAACATGGTTAAGGTGTTGGCATAGTTTGGTTTTGTATGTGTGCCTCTATTTAACATACGGATAGAAAAGTATGTTCTTTCTCCCTTCAATTGAAAACTATTTAGTATCCCAAAATTCTGGATAATCGAGTATATAAATATTATTTACTGCTTTCAGCACACTCAGAGAGGAGAATTAAATCAGCTTTCAGTGTAATTCAAGGGCAAAACACGATTTTCCCTTTTCTATTTATTTATGTATTTAAGCCAATTTTTAAACTTTAGTCATCTTGCAACATGACTCAATTATTTATCTCTGCAGTGGGTAGGTTTGCCCACTGAATGAATCCATTTTATACATCAGGCTTAGTATTTCTGCTTTTTTCTTAAACTACAGTGATTAAGAGAGATTACAGAAATTTCTTTTAAAATTTCAGAATATTAATAGTCTAAAACAGAATACAAGTGCTTTTCATACGCATGCATTATTTAAGAAACATTTGTAATTGAGGGAACATTTTTTTTGTTTGTTTGAGGGTGAAAAGGGGATAAATATGCATTTTGCCTGAGCTCTGTTACCTACTTAAGGTTAGTTTTGATATTCCCCAAAATTTGTGTCTTGGGAGAAACAGAAATGATTCTTAGAGTGGAAAGGGATTTCTAGCAGTCAGCCAAGAGTGTGCAGGGTACCACTGTAAACTGTGTGACTTTTCCTTTTCTTTCCTAAGAAAGACAAGATGTGTGTGTGTGTGTGTGTGTGTGTGTGTGTGTGTGTGTGTATCAGGAAGCCTTCCAGCTATAAGTAACTGAAATCCTGATTTATAGTGGCCTGAATAAATTGGATTTTTTTTTCTTGTATTACAAGAACTGTGGAGGTAGGCAGTCCCGAGGTAGCAGCAGCTCAATAATGTCAACAAAGATTTCACTTATCTCCCCACTCTGCCATTCTTTTGTCTTTATGGTTGCATGATGGATGCCACACCTCCGACATTGCATCTTCATTCTGGGCAGGGTTTTGGCTTTTTGTGTGGAAAGGGACACCCTTCCTATCAGACTTTTGTTTACATCTCATTAATCAGAACTATGCCACATACCTACCCTCAGACCACTTACTGGCTGAGGGGAATGAGATGCCCAGGACTAATTTAGACCAGTCAGGATTTCTTTCCTGGATTATCCAATAGGAAATTATCCTTCCTGGTGTCAAAGAATCTCCGCCCATTATTTGAACAAATTGGGGTTGTTTTCAAGTAGAAGGAGAGAATGGCCCTGGCCGGTTTGGCTCAGTGGTTAGAGCGTCGGCCTACGGTCCGGAGAGACCCGGGTTCGGTTCCCGCTAAGGGCATGTACTTCGGTTGCAGTTTGTCCCCGGCCCTGGTTGGTCGTGCGGTTGGCAGCCACTCGATGTGTCCCTTCACGTCGATGTTTCTGTCTCTCTCTCCCTTCCTCTCTCTCCCACTCTATCTGTACAAAAAATGGAAAAATATCCTCGGGTGAGGATTAAAAAAAAAAAAAAAAAAAAAAGTAGGAGAGAATGGGTACTGGGTAGACAATAGAAAATGTCTGCCACAAACATAAGTGTCATTCTGCATTTAAAAATTCTGGTTGTACACTCAATTTGCCTGGCCTTTCATGATAAGATATTATGTGTCTGTATACTAGAACACAGTTTGCCCTCAGGCAGACCTAATTCTACCACGAATAAGCCACTCCTCAAAGACTCCATTTTATCTGCAGAATAGAGGTATAATATTATTTCCCTTATCAGAGTGTGTGAGGATTAAATGAGACCATGCATTTAAAGCAATTAACATAGGGGCTGGTACACACATAAAGAAAGGAACGAAAAAAATCTCAGCAAATGCTTTCATTATACGAATTTGACTGCTGTGCAGAGATCCAAAATAGCAATAGCTTAACCAATACAAGCATTTATATCTTTCTCACATAACCATCTGGACATAAGCCAAACTGAAAGATGGCTGCATGGTGTCAGGGACCCAAATCCCTACTACTCCCTTGGGTGAGGCCTTGTCTGCTTGGTCCAAGGTGAGTTGATACGACATTTGCTTTCCATTCAGTAAGAAGTGGAAAAGGGGAAAAAGAAGCCAATCTCCTTCCTTTTGAGGGTGTAATTTGCTCTGTCCAATATGGTGGCCACTAGCCACGTGTGGCTATTTCCATTTCAATTAAAAGTAACTAAAATGAAATACAATTTAAAATTCTGTTCCTAATATGCAGTAGCCAGATATCAAATGTCCCATTGCTTCAAAACTCTTAAAAATCTTTCCCCATCGTGTCTGTCTGGCAAACTCATATTCATCCAAGCTCCATTTCTTCTTCTCTATGAAGTTTTCCTGATTTACAAGCTGAGATAGGTAGTCTCTTTAGGGCAGGGACTATTTTTTTTTTTTTTTTAAACTTTCATCTCTACCACATCTATCTCAGAGCCTGGGTACACAAATGTTAGTTGAGTAAATGAAAGGGCTGTGTCTTATGTTGCATTCCCAGGATCTAACAGAGTAGGTGCTCAATAATTTCTATGAGCAAAGACAAATAAGAGCAGTGGACAGTGTAAGCAGGGAGGTGGGGTCCTGAGAGATGAGAATGCCCGGCAGATCTCCAGTGATGGAGCGTGTATTATTTTCCTATGGCTGCTATAAAAATTACCACAAACGTAGTGGCTTAGAACAACACGCTTTTTTTATTGTACAGTTCTGTAGGTGAGAGTCTAATATGAGTCTCCCTGGGCTAAGATCAAGGTGTCAGCAAGGCTGTATGCATTTCTGGAGGCTGTAGGGGAGAATCCATTTCCTTGCCCTTTCCAGCTTCTAGAAGCTGTTCACATTCTCTGGCTCATGGACTCCTTTCTCTGTTTTTCAAGTCAGCAATAGTGAGTTGAGTCCCTCTCACATTGCATCATTCTGGTCTCTAACTTCTGTCTCCCTCTTTGATTTTAAGGATCCTTGAGATTGGGCCCACCAGGATAAGTCTATTTTATGATCAGCTAAGTGACAACTTCAATTCCATCTGCAATGTAACCTAACATACTCACAGATCCCAGGAATGAGAACGTGGATATCTTTGTGGGGAGACAGCATTATTTTTCTTACCAACAGGGTGCTTGAACACTGACAAAAGTCCATATAATTAAGACAGTACCAGGGATGAAACTAAAGTGAAATTTAGTGGCTGATTGTGCATATCCCAGATCTTCTTTCTAGGACAATGAGAAACTGCACATGAGCTCATATACTGCTAACAACTATATGCTATTCTCCCAATCTCAGGTGACTGCCATTGTAGGGGGGGGGGGGCAGTACACACTGAGTCATACATATGAAAGGCACGTACATTTATACAAAGCAGTTATAAGCTGCCAGGTATGGATGACAATATAATGAATGAAGTATCATTTTTCTATTGGTACAAATGAGGCAGGAATGAATGGGGAAAAACAGAACTACAAAAGGGTGGCAATAAAGGAAACCATTTCCAAATCACTTTCTTTGAGATTTAAAGTCCTTGAAAAGGGAAAAGTGGGGGTGAGGAAAGCGCCTGTGTAATCTGAAAACTTCAAAAAGAAAGGGTAACTTTAAAAAAAAATAGCGATTGTATGCAGAAGCTCAAGTAATTTAATAGTTCAGGAAGTTGGCAGCATGATTTCACTATGACTTACTCTGCATTGTGGCTGAGAAAAGCGGTTTCACCTGCAGCTGGGATGCACCTGCCCTGAGGGTTCATAACTCAAGTAACAGCATGACAATAATCAACAACAACAACTGCTAGCACGTCCTGAGGACTTGCCAAGCTCTATTCTAAATGACCCACATGTGTTAACTCCTTTAATTTCCACAACTCTCTGAGGAAGGTAATATTAAATAATATTATGCCAATTTTGTACACGTGCCAGAGAATTTGAGTAATTTTCTGACGCTCTCACAAGCAGTAAGTGATAGAGCTGAAATCTGAACCCAGGCATTCTGATTCCCCAGAGTTTGTGGACTTGACACACGGTGCCATTCAATCATCATTGCCTACCAAGTATTTGGCCCTAACTAGATTCTAGAACTAGTATCTGGGTAAAATATGGGATTAGTCTTTTGTTATATATATTTTACAATTTCTTAAAGGAAAACAACAACAAAAACTTAGTCCTATACGGTCCCATAAAATAGGTATGATTATGGCTCAAGTAACCCCTGTGAGGGGTTCAAGACCCATAAGGGGGAGCCACTTACCATTTTAAGTACCTTCATGGAGTCTTCACCTGGAGAGGCATCTTTTGTGCACTTCAAAGGGTTAACATTTCCACATGTGCTTCACTGGCTTCTGTGACCTAAGATTTCTCAAGAAGACTAACATCTGCACTCCAGCCAAAGAGAGGTCCGTGTGGTCCGACTCGGCCTTTGCGAAGGAGGAGGCCTGGTTTAGTTAACGTGCGGGGAAATCCTAAGCAAACCCGCCCAGAATCTGTGGGTGCCCCCAGGTCCTGGATGCACTGGTCTCTCTGGAGGATTGGTGACTGGAACCCATTAGCCTGGAGGAAGTTAGACTGTTGTATAATCATAGAAGAGTCGTCACCAGCAGATAAATACTTAAACAATCAACACACATCCCCTGGAACAGTATTTTCATAAATGAAGTGGTTCTGAATGGCCCTGTTGTTGAAATAATTGCATTTGTCGAAAAAAACCCAAA